TCCCCCCCCCCCGCCTCCCATGAGGCCGGAGCAGCGCCCCTGTCGCCCGCACTCCCCCCGTTCTAGTGCCCTACTGCGGGGGGCTGCGCATCCCCCCCGCCCCCCAGCACCGACCGAGCATGACGCCTGGCGCCCATCGGATCTCGACCCTCTCTGGGCGGGAGAACTGGCCCCCCGCATGCCGCCAGGAAGGGGACCGGGGCCTCTCCGGCGCCTAGCCTCCACAGTCGCTCCAGGCGGTGGAGGGATCTCTTGAAAAAAAAAAAAGAAACTAGGCCAGAGCTGGGAGAACTGGCGACCACAACGCACACAGGGCAGGCACATCCCTTGCCATCCGACAGCGTGCCCAAGACAGCCATGTACTCCACATACATGCGTTCTTCCGCATCCCGCCCCTCCCCCGCCGTCTGCGCGATTGAAAAGATCGCGGAAGAAACACACACAAACAGCCAAAGTCCACCCCAGGAGGCCAGCCTCTCCGGCCACGGGTCACAGCCAATACGCATATGTTGAGTCAAATATTTAAAGGCCCCTTTGTTGCTGGGTTCATGTGCTGCCATGAAATGAGAGAGAGAGCAGCGGCATGCTGCCCAAGCACCCAATACGGGTTCCTCCCCCACCCTGGGCCGATGAAGCTCCCCAGCCCAATGGTTTTTCGGCCCCGAGCGAATTGCCAACTTATGGTTCCGGGCCGGATCACCCGATCTGTAATACTATTCGAACTCTGATCAGGCCACCGGGTGACACATCCAGAACCGCAGGCCCTTAACCGACGAGAGCACTCTTTCCGCGAGATAAGCCAGAGACTATCGTGCCTTGTGCGGGGGGGGGCGAGGGCGGTCCCCAGGGAAACCGGCGCAGGTCCTTTTCCCATGCCGCGCCTGTTTCCTGGGCCAAATTCCCCGCCCTTGGACTCGGTGTGCCTGGTGGTGATCGGGAGGACACACCCTTCACCCTTAATCATCCCGGGGGTCGGGCCGCGCAGGCCAAGTTGACCCACAATTGCACCACGGGTTTGATTGCCCTTCCCTTTCGTGCCTCTCCGCACGCGGGCACATGCCTCTCCTACCAATGTGCCCCCTGCTCCTGATGCCCGCATGAAAATGCCTCTCAAAATGAAAACCATGCATGCCCCTAGAGAGCAATCGAAGCAACTCGCCACCTCCCCTTCTCACTCCCCCCCCCCCTATAAAGGCCTTGCGTCGCCCTCACGTTGCCCCCTTGTGCTCATTCGCCTCCCCGCTCGCCTGTCGCCTCCTCCTGCCGTGCACTCGGTCGGCACCAGCCCTCCCGCGAGATTGTTCATCGCGTGATGGCTTTGGCCCGGTGCTCGTAGGCGTTTGTCTCCCCTTGGTGTCCGCCAGGCCCATCCCCTTCGTTGCACGAAGGCATCAGGAAAGAAGAAGAAGAAGAAGAAGAAGAAGAAGAAGAAGAAGAAGAAGAAGAAGAAGAAGAAGAGAAACACAAACCACAGGGAGGCGAGGGGGGAGGAGGAGAAGAAGGCCCAAAGGACGGACAACTCATCGCAGCAACCGAAGCAGACCACAACCATGCTCTGGCTGGGCATCCTCGGGGCCATCATGGTGGTCGTGGTCAATGTCGACATCGTCCTGACGGTTCTATCCAACACCCGGCCCGCAGTGGTGGGCTATCTACTGTTGCTACTTTGGTCCTCATTGTCGCGCGTGTGGATGGCCTCCAGGCTGCCCGACCTCTTTGGCCGACGCGGGCTGTCCGTCATTGCGCCCTTCCTATTGATGTTGATTCTGATTGTCTGGTCGGCCCTGCTCTGGCTCAGCTGGACCTTCGTTTTCTTCTCCCTCGACAATGTGGTTCGAAACAGCAGCACCGGCGACCCGGTCAGCATCATCACCACCGCCTACTATGTGGGCTACGTCTTCACCACAGTCGGCCTCGGTGATGTCCAGGTGGATACCGACGGATTCCGGGTGCTGACGGTCATCGTGGCCTTCAATGGGATCCTCTTCTCCTCCCTGGCCGTCTCCTACACCCGTAGCGCGCTGGACGCCTTCCACAGTTGCGCCAATCTGGCCACGCGCATCGCGGTCGTCGGCAAGTGGCCACTGGACATTCTGGATCTTTATTGGGACGGGGGTCGCTGGGACCGCGTCGGGCTCAACGAACTAACCCAGGCCGTGGCCTACGATGCCGCTGCTCTGGCCCCCTATGTCAAGTCCAGCCTCTTCTCCTTTGGCCTCTTTTCCTACCACAAGTCCCGCAGTGCCCTGGCCATGATCGCCGTCTTCCACGAGGCGGTCGTCCTCCTGGAGAATGTCATCGACATCGAGGACAGCGCCGAGGCCGCCATGTCCGAGTTTCTCATGAACCAAACGGGCATGCCCATCGCCGTGGCCCGGACTCTGGCATGGTCCGGGGCATTCCCCCTGATGGGGGCCAGCATCCCGCCGCGCTTGCGCGGCTCCCCGGGCTTCCGAGCCAGTGGCCCATACCCCGAGCAACAGCCCCCTTCAGGATCGAGCTACCCCGGCGGGCTGCCCTCCTCAGGGTCAGGCTATGTTGTTGGCCACCAGCCGGTTCCGGGACAGCCGGGCCACGTCGCGGCACCGGGCCACTACAGCTATCCCACCCCGATGCCGGGGTATCCTGCGCCGCCAGCGCCCCTGGCATCCGGCTATGGTGGCCACATTGATCCCAGTCCATCGGGACTTGTTGGCCCAAGCACCTCCAGTCTCTCTATTCGCCCACCACCTCCAGGATACGGGGCACCGCCGCAGGAGTATGGCCACTCCCAGCAGCCGCCCTCGCGGCCGGAGGATAGCGTCCCCTGGGATACCTCCCACCAGTGGACCAGCCCCGGAGGCCATGACGACCTGGCTGGGAGCCGCCTTCCGCCCCATCCACGCCACGAAGGGCCCCCTGGTGGAATGCCACATCCTCAACACCAGCCATACCACCCCAGAGGACACGAATCTCCGGCCGTCCATTCGCCGGACCCCCGGTTTGCCGGGCACACACGTCCCCTCTATCCGGACTTGGCGACTGGCAGCGGCGACCGGTGGTACCCGGCCCCACCGCCGCCACTGCCCGGCGCACACGCCGGCTCCTATGCGCCACCACCGGTCGGACCTCCGGGCATGCCGAATCAGAAGCCGGACAATGCCACAGCCGACCCGCGATACCGCCGGCCCACACGACTGCCAGTCAGTCGTGCCAATCTGGTTCGCCTGTACCGGGCCCTGGACATGCTGCTCGACACCATGATTGACGGGCACTTTGTTCGATATTCCCCCGAGAAGCCACCAATGCCAACCGTGGACTTGGAGCTCCTCCGTGCTCGTGGCTTCCGCCTGCTGGACAGCGCATACATCGAGGCCAGCATGTCCCGTGGACATGTTCATCGGCGACGGCAAATCCTCATGCGGTCTTTGCACATCGGGGGCTGGCGCTGGCGGACCAGTGTCTTGGGCAATCCAGCTGATGTCTAGAGCACCCTCCATCCCCCACCCGCCTACTTGTCCGTTTCCTTGTTCCCCCCCCCCCCCCCCGCTCCTCTCATGCACCATTGGGCATGGTGTGCTTCGGGCGATCCTGTGCCACGATAACCGGGCCAGGAGCGTCAGCGGTGGCTTTACCACATGCCCAATCCAACATGCCATGTCACCTGTAGAGGGTATTGTTTGTTCTGTTGTGGTGTGTTTGTGCTGGCTGGCAAGTTTGTGGGTCCCTGGAAGCGCGAGACAGTTGGCCACCCGGAAGTGGCCTAGAAGCAGCAATCGCAGTCGATCGGACAGTCCTCGGTGTCTGGGTTCAACCGGTCAGTGGGCGGTGTGTGTATGTGTGTGTCGGCGTATGGGTGCTCTGCATTGCGCAATAAATGACGCGAAGTATGTCATGCGAGCGTACCACCGCCCTTGCCGAGGCCAAGCTCGTCGGGAGTGTAAATCGGATAGCCATCCTCGGTGAAGGAACGTCCTATATGTATGCATGTGTGCGTGTGTGTACATCGCCGAGGGGATCGAGGAGAAAGGGTGAGAAGTGAGCCACAGCGAGATGTTAGCCTACCACCATTGCAGAATGGCCTGGCCATGGTTGTCAGCCCTCCAAAAGAGTGACACACACACACGGACACACCCACCCACACCCACACAAACGCACCTTGCTGACGGCTACCGCGACTGTCGGCAAACCCATCGTCATCAGGACCGGTCTTGTCGGTCTTACTCCCGGTGGCCTTCTTCAGCAAGGTCTCCGCGCTTTCCTTTGTCCCGGAGGAGATCCTAGAAAGACTCCGAGCGATCAGCATCTTCTTGGCCTTCTTCTCGGCATCGGTCAGCTCGACGCCCTCCTCGGGGTCCTCAGCATCGAGGAAGGCATCGAGATCATTCGTGCCGGGGGTGGGCTGCGCTGTTGCCTGAGGCTTGGCCTTGGAGGAGACGCTCTTGAAGATGTCATCCAAGAACCCGTCAATCTTGGCGTCCTTACCAGCAGGCGGGGCAGCCTTCTTGGCCTTTGCAGCGGACTTGTCGCTGGGCTTCGCCACCTTGGTGGGCTTCATTTGCAGGTTTGGACCAGGCGTGGAGGGAGGAGATAAAAAGGAGAGAGAGGGAGGGGGGGGGGGGACACAGGAAAGGGTGTGTGGGCGTGTGTGCGGTGCACGTATGTGTGCAGCGAGGAAGGGAAGGGAAATGTTGAATGGACGCTTTCCCACCTGCCATGTCGCCGCCCCAAGAGCAGTGTTGCTCGCCGGTCCCCCGGGCGGGGCCCATAGCCCTGGCCCTTTTTTCGGCGCGCGCGCGCGCGCGCACGCGCGCGCATGGACCCCAGATCGCGGGCCATGCTTCACCTGTTCCCATGTGCCAACGCATCAGCATTCTCCGCCTCCCCCTCGGCACGCGCCGACGCGCCTTCCCACGACAGGCAAACTCCGAGAGGGAGAAAGATAGGCGGCGGGAGCAGGGGGACATGAGCGCACAAAGCAAGGGACCAAAGGTAACAAAGCAAGGTCCGGGACAATCTATGTGTCTATTGGCACTTCCTGGGCCATGGATGTGTGTAGGGAAGCACATGCGGCACACACATACACACACACACACATGCACGATTGTGCGCGTGCGCAACTCCCCTCTAGATCTGGATGTGCTTGAGTAGACGCTCGGCCTCCGAGAAGGACAGCCGTGAGAGAGATAGCCGGCGGATGCCGGGCATGTCCAGGCAGCTGGACGGCGCGACCGGAGCCGGCTCCGAGTCCGCCTGTCCTGCTCCACCATCCTGCCGAGGTGCATTCAGCATGGCGCGGTGATGCTCGACTTCCGCCTCCAGGGCCAGAAGCAAGGCCGCCTGCTCGATACCTCCCGGATGGTCATCCCCAGTGATGAGCAGGATGTTGACGTCCACCCGGTCGGTGCCCGGGGTGCTGGCGCTGGAGCATTCCGCTTGGCTGTCGCCACCGGACCCATTCTGGTCCATGAGCAGACACTGTAGCGAGTGGGAGATGCTCGGCGAGTCAGCGAGCGAGTCATCGGCATTGTGGGGCCCGGACCCGGGCGCATGGCGCGCCAGAAGCGGCCGGGAGGGCAGACACGCGATGATCGTGCGGAGGTCAATACGCTCGGGCGGAGGGGGGCGACCACCCGGCAGGTGCCCGGGAGGCGTGCCAAACAGCAACAGTGCACAGTCCGTGGCTACGAGAATGCGCGAAGTGAGAGTCGGCTCGGCGGTCGCGAAGTTGGCTGGGTCATCAAAGCGTGTGGCCAATTGGTAGACCAGGAACGAGAAAAGGGCCACCTCGCCCTCCTCAAGCCAGGGCCTATGTTTTTTTTTTTTTTTTTTCAATTTTTAGCAAGGAGGGTGGCGCGTCAATGGCTGGGAGAAGCAGGCACAAATGTCCCGAGGAAGTGGCAACAGGAAGAGCCGGCGCCGGAGGGCGATACGCACTTGTAGACATTGACGAAGGGGTCCTCGATTTGCTGGGTTTCCGGCGAGAAGGCCATCTTGGCGTTCACTTTGTTACCGGTTGCCGAAAGAAGTGCGGTGTGCTCGGCGCTTGTCTCCGAGGCCGCAATCGGGGCCGTGCTGCTACTAGAGGCAGTGCGCTCGCGCAGGCCCAGCGACGAGAGAGAGGGCGAGGGCGCCGCCTGTGGCAAGAACACCTCACATGACTGCCGACCATAGATATAGTCTGCGAGGAGGGGGGAATACCGGGGGACCGGAGGGAGGGAGGAGGGTAAGCAGGAGATAGGCAAGTGACAGCCCTGTTGGCATCGAGAGCCAGGGCGAGGGACCGCGTGTTCAGATGGCGAGTGTGGCATATACGTGTGCGTGCGTGCGTGCGTGCGTGCGTGCGTGCGTGCGTGCGTGCGTGCGTGCGTGCGTGCGTGCGTGCGTGCGTGTGTGGCGGGGGACATGCGCGCGCAGACAGGGCACGTACCATATAGATTCTGCAGGTCGGAGTCGATGAAGGCATTGCGATACATGCGCGTCATGCTGTTGACGCCGTCGGTCATCCGGCCGGAGGTAGTCCGACGCCCAGTGCGTGTGAAGTCGCCCTTGAGGGCGGCTGTACCGGCATACGCCCGACTCAGAGCATCTCCATGGTCAGCCCAAATGGCCGCCAGAAGGGCATCAAAGTGCGACCCCAGAGGCAGCGACCGAAGAGCAGAGGCCGGACGCCCGGCAGTCGGTACCGGGGCATTCACTGACCGGGAGTCCACCGCGACCAGGGATGTCAGCTCATCGCCACCAGGCGACCCTGGCTCAGAGTCCAACAGCTGCTGGCGATGCTGCTGCCGGAGGCGCCGCTGCCGAAGCACCGGTGTACTGAGTTCATCCTCCGAGTCCGTGTCTGCCTCACTCTCGCTCGGGGTGACGGTATCATCGCCAGGCTCCGAGGCCGGGGAGCCATTCGCATAGCGAGTATCAGCGAAGTCCTGCGCTCCGCCGGTGGCGAGGGCCATCTGGTGAATCTGGCGCTCGATGATGGCCGCATTGTCCGCACTGAGCAGGGCATCACGCGAGACAGACGACAGGGTGGGCAAGATGTGCCCGTGAACAAAGGCCCGCGTGAACAAGCGCGAGGCCACCGACGCCTGGAGGACATTGGTGCGATCCAAGCAGTCGATGCAATTCGTCCGGACAACCCCTTGCTGATGGCTGAGAATGGCGGCCTCGATGTCGGCCACGGTGGTCGCGCGGGCCGGGACCCGCACGCGCAGACAGAAGAACCCATGGTCAGCCAGGGCGCGTTTCTCGATCCGGTCGATGAGTCGGTCGATGTTGCCGAAGCGCCCACCTCGGCACTCCGCATGGAAGTCGAAGGCCTCGTAGCTGTGTGATCGGGCAGGCGGGTCGTCAATTTCCATGTACCACATGCTGGTGAGTCTATCCACCCGGGCAGGAGCAAAGGGGGCGAGAGGGGTCCGCCGCATACCTCACGCCGGGGGTGGCAATTTGACTGAGATGGCGACCAAAGTGCTCACCGAGCTGCTTCTCACGGCCCTCCTTGTCCACGAGATTCACGCAAACAATGTTGTTGTGGCGGGTTTTCTACAGCGCATAGATGGGTCAGACCAGCGGCAGGTTGTGGGGCAAGAGAGTCGAGGGACTGTATGGGAGGACGCAGGGCAGGAGGCGCGTACCAGCCACTCGAAGTGCTTTCGACACACGGCCGAGCAGGAGTCCCAGCTGGAGGAGACATTGATGGCCGGCCGGAGTTCCAGCTTGTGCTGAGGCGGCTGGGTCCAAAGGAGGGGAATGGAGCCGCGAATTTGCACGTGCGAGGCGATCAGCCATTCGGAGGGAGGGGAATCCACCACATTAGCGCCCGAGGCGGTGGTCGGGGCCCCGGTGCTGGCTAGCCGTGCGATGCGCATCTCGGACTCCACGAAGTTGGCCACATTACCGGCCAGGTCACTGCCCCGACGCTGGTACCGGAGCCCTGGCCGGCCGGAATGCTTGCGCGCATGGAGTGACACCACCAGCACAACGCCGGAAAGGGTCACAGTCTTCCCGAGGGCACATGGATCATGGTTAGTTGGAAGATACGCGGGAAAAGGGAGCGACCCCCCCCCCCCCCCTCCTCCCCCGGCCGGCAGGGAAAAACCATGCGCACCGACGACTGGGCAAACCCATGGACCAGGCGAATGCAGAAGGGGCTCATCGAAATGCGCCGGCGCTCGGAATCCCCCGAGCAAGGGTCCACCAGCAGCATCAGCGACGCGGCATTCATACAGAAGGCATCATCGCCAGCCACACGGCCCCGAGAGGGCCGGGTGAGTCGGCTCTGCATGGACCGAGTGAGGTCGTCATATTCCGCCTGCACGGCGCGATCGAGGTCAGCCAAGTCGCGCACCGCAACCGGGTGCAGGGTGAAGATGGCCGACCCGGAGGTCAGCAGCCGGGCGATGCGCTCCATGGCTCGGGCATCATGGTCACTGAGAGATGCCAGGGTCAGGAACCGGATGTCCGGTGCCTCGAGGGCAGGGAGCCGGTCGATGTCAGCCGCCGGGTTCGACGCCAACGTCACCGTCGGGGGAACTGCCGGGCGCAGTAAATCCGGAAGATGGGCATCGAGAGTGGCCAGCGGCACGGCCGGCGGGGGGGCGGCGCGTGGCGCGGAGGATGCAGGCCGACTGGCGGAAGGGGTGTTTGAGCTACTGCGCCCAAACACCCCAGTAAGGAAACTGGCCGAAGAGGCCCCCGCACTACCGACGGTTTTGGCCGTGGCAGCAATGGTGCGCGAGGACAAATCGGCCGAGGTGGTGATGAAGGAGGCGATGCGCGAGCCGGTGGTGTTGGACCGTGACAGAGGCTGAGATCCACCGGGGCCGGCCGGTGGGAGCTCCGCTCCTGTGCCCTCTACATTGGCGCCCGGGGCCACAAAGCCGGATTGCTCCAGGAAGTGCGAGAAGGAGGCTTCCAAATTGAGGGGGAAGCTGCGGGGCGCCCGATTGCGGGCGTCTCCCATTTGGGTGACACTGAAGGAGTCACTGGAGTCGAACATGGCCGCCGCGTCGCGGCCGGCCGCAGCCGAATGGAATGCAGGCAGATCCGGATCGAAGGACAGCAGCGACACCGACCGAGCAGTCAGCACGAGGCTCACGCCACCAGTGGCCGATGGGAGGACAGCCACCACATTGGCGGAAGTGACGACACCCTTTGCAATGTGACAAACGGAGAAAGGGGAGTCCGGGGGGGGGGGGGAAGCAATAGACAGGGGCAAGATGTCAGCAGCATTTCACCTGAGCGAGAGGGAGAGAGAGAGAGAGCACACTTGGGAGCCAGGCCGCAGTTAGGCACACACCAAGTACCGCGTGCGCAGGAGCTGATACGTCCCGAGAAGGCCGTAAACCAGGAAGGTAGGGTCGGCCGCGGCCTCAGACGAGTGGGCCACATCAAGGTAGGGCATGGGGAAGATGGACGGCGGATCGGGGCCGGTGGCCTGCCCATTGCGAGCTGTCTTCGACAGTCGCGGGATGAACAAGGTCGGGGTGACAAGGCTGCTGCGTGCCGTGGCTGACGAGGCCTCTGGGACGCGCTGGACCAAAAACGAGTGGGGCTGAACCTGGATCACAAATCCCGGCGCCGGCGCCTCGGGAAGAGGGGGAAAGAGGCTGGCCTCCGTGGCTGACGAGGGCGCACCAAGGCCGAAGACACCACCAGCTGGCGATGGGGGAACCGCGGCAACCCCAGCCTCCGGGACCGTGGCGGCAGACATGGCAATGGCAGGCTGCGTGCGTGTGTGTGCGTGTGCTGGGAGGGAGAAGATGGGCAGATGAGGGGGGAGGAGGAGGAGGGGGGAAGAGGCAAAGAGGGGGAGGTATGTCGGGCCTGGGGGCCGGGGTGGTGTGAGGGGGGGGGGGGCGCGTGTGTGGAAAAGTCACCCAATAGTGGCAAGGTGGTGGACAGGAGACCGGCCCCAAAGGGAGCCCGGGCAGGACTCTTTTCGGGGACCGGTCCCCTGGGATCTGTCCGGGCGAGCGACTGGCATGTTGTCGCAGGCGAGGCCATGGTCCGCCCGGGGAGCGCGGCGAGGGGGCTAATCCAGGGACCAGATCGTTATCCGCCGACTGAGAGAGGGATGAAACCGCCAGAATAGATGCGGATCTCTGGATGGGCCCCCGCTCCTTCGGTGTGCTAGTCGTGCGTGAGTGTTCGGGCCATCAATGGGGAGGAAATCCCAGGCCGTCGATTTTATGGCCGCCGCGCGACCTTCCCCCTGTCGGCCGAGGATGGCTGGTCCTTACCCCCCCCCCCCCCCCCGCCGCCCCCGCGCCTCAGGGAGATGTGTGTCTCTTCCTCGGGAGGAAAGCCACCTTCAAGTCCCCCGCCCCCCCTCCTTGCCCGCCCAGGTCATGGCCGTGTTTTCAATCCTACAACGTCCACAATTATGCCAATGAGCCGGGCGCCATGCGCCTCTCCGGCGCCGAGTCCCCACCGCGCGGACTTGCCCGGGGGGGGGGGGGGGGGGGGAGAGGGGGGCACCGAGTTATTTGTCTGGGCCTGGCTGCATGAATGCAGTCCGTCCCGTTGCGTTGGCGGCTGAACCTAAAAAAGAGCCCAGCAACCACGCCCCTGGGCCTGAGCGCTGCTTGGGGGGAGGGGGGGGGGTACACTCCCCGCGGCCTCCCTCGCAGACAGGGGCTGTTGGGCCGTTTTCTTCACGAGGTGCCCCAGCCCGCGGCAGACGCGCCGCCGACCCCCGGGACCCGGAGACACACCGGAGGCCGGCTCACGGCTCACCGGGTTCACGGGCAAGGAGGCGAAATTCCAATCAGCCAGTCACGCAGCTGATGATCACGCCCACACATACCAACGGCACTCCCAACGCTGAGCGGGCCTCGACAGCGGACAACCGCCGCCGGACGGGCGCGCCCGCTTCTCTCCCGCCCCCCCCCCCCCCGGTGCACGCTCCAAGTGTCTCTTCCTCTCGGGCCGTCGCGGATGCCCGGGTCCTTTTCGGACCCCTTTGCCTGGGCTGATCTCACTTGTGAGGACACTCCTCCAAACCTTCCCCTCTCTCTCTCCCTCCCCCCACACTGGCGCCCCTGCCTCCCCCTCTGTCGACCTCTTGCCTCCCCCCCCCCTGCACCTCTCTACGCCTCAGTGTGGTTGCCCGCGTGCATTTCGCCCCGCCCTGCACATCGGCACTCTTTCGGGAGCAAGCTCCTTCATCCTTCCCTCGCTCCATCTCTCTCTCTCTCTCTCTCTCTCTCTCTCTCTCTCCCCCCTGCGCCAAAAATGTCTTCCTCTTCCAACAATGACCAGGCGGCCGCCAGTGTCTCTGCCAATGCCCAACCCCCCACCCCCGCTGCTGCTGCTGTGTCGCCCAACAGCGGCCAGTCGGCCGCCGCTACTGCTGCTCCATCTGGCGGCCGTTCCACCGCGCTGAATCTTCACCCGACTCTGGTGACCAGCCGCCCGGCTCGCAAGCAGGTTCGCATATCCGGTCGCCTCCCTCCGGCCCCTACCGCCCTCCTCCACGCTCGCCGTTTCTGCACCATGCTCCCGAGCCTCTTTCCTTACCTTTGTCCCCCCTCCCCCCCCCCCCCCCTCAAGGCGGCCTCGTGGGAGAATGAACGTCGCGCGGCGATGGATCGCGCGCCGGACGGCACCACCGGCTACAACATCTTCTACAATCGCCATGGTGGTGGCTTCGCCGGGACGCACGGTGGCCGTCGAGAGCTAGCCTCCACGCGCATCGACGTTGCCCTGGATTCGGGTCTCACCAAGGGCTCATACAATTCCCACGCCTTCATCTGCCTCGACTATGCCCAGTACGTCGTCGAGATTGCGCGCCACTCTCATCTCCCCCTCCCCCTCCCTCTCCTTCTTCTTTGACCCGCGCCTGCTAACACGTCTTCCCTCTTGACTCCCCCCCCCCCCTCTCTCTCTCTCTCCTCATCGTCTGATAGCGGCTGCTGCGACAAGGGCGGCGACTGCGGGTACCTGCACAATGTCCCTGGCGAGAACTTCAAGGAGGACAACATGTACGATTGCTTCGGCCGTGAGAAGCACTTCCTCCAGCGGCAGGACCGCGGTGGTGTCGGCTCCTTCGAAGGCGACAACCGGACCCTCTATGTGGGCGGCGTCCACACTGGGCGCGGCATCCGCAACGCGGAGGACGTCCTTCTTCGTCACTTCAGTGCCTATGGGAAACTGAGTAGCAGTTCGTGGCCCCCTTTTCCTCCCCGTGCCCGCTTTCCGCGTGTTCATTTGCCCCGTCCCTTGGCTGACCCATGCTGCCGTCTCTTCAACTTCCTCGATGGCCCGCCGCCGGTCCGCTTGTTTCCCCTCTGCTACCAGTCAATGTGCTTCGCGACAAGGACGTTGCCTTCGTCCGGTATGAAAAGGGCGCCTCGGCCGAATTTGCCAAGGAGGCCATGCACCACCAGTCGCTTGATGACAATGAGGTCCGTCAGGATCTTTCGGTTCTCCTTGGGTTTTCATCGAAGCCTCTCTCCCCCTTCCCTCTTCCTTGCTTTCTTTCCTTCTCTCCCCCCTCGACTGACACCTGGCCCCCTGTAGGTTCTCAACATTCGCTGGGCCAATGAGGATCCGAACCCCCGCGTGCGCCAGGCGCTGGCTGAGATGTCTGAGCGCCAGCTGCTGGCTGCAGTGCTCGAGCGCCATGGATCCAAGGCTTCCACCGATGAGTATAGCGCCTTCCGGCAGCTGTTCCAGTCGGTTCGTAGTCGTCAGGCGGCCAATGGCCAAGAGAAGGCCTCCGCCCCTGCTGGGCCCACCCCGCCGGAGAGCCAGGCCCCAGAGACTGAGCCCCAGTGGCGTGCCTACTGGCAGGCGCTCGGCCATTCGCAAGAGCACATCGACTTCTGGGCCAATGCGGCCTTCGGCACCGGGTCGGTCCAGGGTGCCCTCCCTGCTCCGGTTCCGGCAGTCACTCTCCCCCTGCCATCGGCGGTGAGCGATCGCATTTCGCTCCCCCTGCCGGAGAAGGTGCGCGCCGCGGCCACCGGCGCTGGCGGTCGGGCAAATGTTTCGGCGGCGCAGGCTTTCCTGACTGGCGGTGGGAGCGCGGTGGCCGGGGCGACGACCGGCGCCGCCGGGGCCAAGCGCTCGGCCACTGCCGGCGGGCAGGGGTCTCCGACCGGCGAAGCCAAGCGCCAGCGAGTGGCCTCGGCGAGCAGCAGCGATAGCGACAGCGACAGCGATGCCGAGGACTCTGGCACCTTCTGGTTCAACAACCCGACGGTTCTGTCGACCGCGGCGGCGATTGCGTCCGGCTCGCAGCCGGCCACCAGCACCACCAAGAAGGATTAGCGGGCATGGCCGAAAGGCGTTTTGCTTCTCCCCCCTCTTGGGGGTGGTTCCGCCCCTCTTTCGTCCCCCCCCCCCCCCTCCTCCTCCTTTACACTGTATTCCCTTTCTCTCCTCCTTCCCCTCGTCCTTGTAATATATTTTCCCCCGTCCCTTTGTGCTTTGCTTTTCCCCAATTGGGCGATGCCCCGCGCGCCGATACCGTGGGCCGTGTGCCGCCATGTGAAGTGATGAGTATTTATTGAAGGAAAGAACAGCGGCCCGCACACGTAGAAACGTGCACGCGAGGGGGAAGGACCGGGACAATCCCGCGGTGGAAAGCACACTCGCCGCGCAGCCTGTCCCCCGCGCCGCGGTCGGACAAGCGATGAAAGGAGGGAGGGCAAGCACATCAGTATATGATCTGGTGTCAGGAGGACGGCCCGCCCCCCTCGCAGGGGGACCGTGGGGGGGGGGGGGGGGGGAGGTGGCAAGAGGGACCACGCACATATGGTGTCTCTCTCGCAGAGAAGGGTGGGCAAGGCAGGAGGAGAGGGACATGCGGCGCGCGTGTGCGAACGCGAGTGGGCGCGGGGATTGTCGCGGTTGCAGGCAGCGGGCAAGGGAGGAGGGGGGCATAGGCGCGCGAGCGCGCACGTGCAAACGAGCGAGAATCTAGGGCATGGGTGCAGGAGAGGGAGAGCAACGGTGCATGGTGCCAGTCGGCCTCCCCCCTCCCCCCTCCCCCCCTCGCCTCCTCTGACCCAATAGGAGAGGGCGGGCAGGAGGAGAGATCGGAGGAGGGAAGCAGGAGCAGCTTCCTTACTTGGAGTTGCGGTTCTCGAAGGCGGACAGATCGCTACCCTGGTTGACGTTGAGCAGCAGAGTGCTGGAGTCAAGGTAGACCTTGTTGGAGGAGTTGCGCAGGGCCTCGGCAATCTGACGGGCGACCTCGATGCGACGGAGCTCCAGGAAACTGGGGTTGTTCTTGACAGCCTCACCAACCATCTTGGCGGCGCCGGCTTCTCCCTGAGCCTTGATGACAATCTGCTGGCGCTCCTGCTGAGCCTGCTGGACAATGTAGCTGGCACGAGCGGCATCCTGCTGGGCGACCTGCTTCATCTCGACGGCGCGAGTGAACTCGGGGGAGAAAGTGATGTGGGTCTGTGTGTGTGTGTGTGCGCGCGCGCGCGTGTATGCGGATTCGTCAGCAGGCTGTGCGTGTGTGTGTGGCGGGGCGAGCCGGAAAGGGAGGAAGGCCAAAGCAGGAGAGGAGGAGGTGGCGACAATGGTGCCGGCCGGGCACAGCACGTACGATGGCGACATCATCCAGAATGATGTTGAACTGGCGAGCGCGGTTGATGAGGGCGCTGCGGACCAGAGAAGAGACGGTCTCACGGTTGACGATCAGCTGGTTAGCGTTGAACTGAGCGACAACACTCTTGAGGACCTCGTTGGCAATCGAGGGGAGGACACGCTCATCGTAGTCCGGGCCGAGAGTGCTGTGCAGACGGTTGAGCGCCTCAACATTGGGCTTGGACAGCAGACGGACGGAAATGTTGACCATCTGGAGATCTATCGGGATGTAAGCAAGCGACCACAAGGGGGCGAGATAAAGACGCATGCGTGGGGTGGTGGTGGTGGTGTAGGCGACGCAATCAGCGCATGTGCAGAGCGCGACACGTGGCCACGGGCGGCGCGTACCCTTGGAGCCGGTGACCGAGGAAATGAGACGGGGGCGGGCACGAACGTCGTAGATGGTGATCTTCTCGAGCCAGGGGATCAGGAAGTGGGTACCCTCGGTGTAGACATGATCCACGACACCATGGACACGGCTGAACTTGACACCGCGGTGACCACCATCAACTGCGGGCGAGGGGGCGGGGGGAGGTGGGAGGGGAGGATGGGCGCATTCGCGTGGAAAGAGACGGACGCGAGAGGGACACGGTAAGTGGACAGAGGGTCGGACCGGCCCGGAGAAAGTGAAAGGAGGAAAGGCGGTGAAGGGGGGGGGGAGGGACGGGAAGGGAGAGTGACACGGGCGCACTGTTGAACATGGAGGCGTTCAGGAGCTTGTAGCCGCCGAAGATACCGGCACCCAGGATACCGAGGAGACCGAAAGCAAGGTTGTTACCCTTGGCGAAGCGGTAGGCATAGCCGGCCGAGGCGGCGACCGAAGAGGACATGCCCGCCTTGCCGGACGGGTTGTTGGCGCTGGACATGGTTGGGGGGCTGAAGGGCGTGTCAGCGGGCAAGAGGAGGAGGGGGATGAGGGGGGGGGGAGGGTGAAGAGAAGGAGGGAAGGGAGGGAGAGAAGACAGACGACAGGAGCAGGAGTGGGAGGGGAGGGACGGATGGGGGAGGGAGGAGCGTGTGGGGCATACAACAGAGGCAGTCGTCGCAAAAGGAGGAGGGGGAGAGGAGGACTGGTGTTGCTTGGCCCGAGGGTGGCCTGGGCAGCGGTTCTTGGGGCTGAGAAAAGCCTTTCGTATCGGTCGGCCGGAACCCCGGGCGTGAGGTCGGTCGGTCGGTTGCCTGCGGGAAACGAAACTGGAGTCTCGGCCCTGCCAAGACACGCCCCTTGCGGGGGGGGGGATGTTCCCTAGGTCTGGGGAAACGTAAATCCCGCCTTTTCCCAGGGCCTGGGGGCGTGCTAAAACCATGATGCGAGGGAGTGCCCGTCCCCCCTCCCCCGCCTACCCCCCCCCAGCACCTGAGCATGGGTGGAAGGAGCGGGAGGGCGGGGGGGGGGCGAGCTCGCATGGACATCTCTTCGGCCCTGGGGGCGACCCTATTATTTGAGGCCCATCGTTCCCTCCCGTATCCTGGAGTCGCGGGACACATGGCTGCCACCACCCCCCCCTCCCCAGAAAGGCTTTGAAGGAGAGGAACAGGCCGGGGACAAGGGCGGGGGAAAATGCCTCTGTGTTTCCAGGGGGGGAACGTGAATCCATATCGCCCCGCGCCAGCCGAGCATGTGGTGATCCCCTTTCTCGCCCTCCACCCCGCCCCGCGTAAGTGGTTCGGAGGATCAATCCCGACGGGAGATCCTCCTCTGGACGGAGAGGGTCCAGGACGAGCTGGCCCAGGAACCGGGGGTAGCCCGGTCACAGGCCCTGACACCGGGCAACACCGTCTGGCGGGCGTGAAGTTACACATGCACATGCACACGCACACACCCATCGAAAAAAAAAAAAAAAAGGCCCACATATGCCCAGGCACACCCGAGAGCAGGCAGCCCGCCTGGCCCGAATATTAGGGTTCAACTTCTGCTCTCTGCCCCCCCGCTGACAAGGGGATTTTCGGCAATTCGATTGCGAATACGTCGTCTTTAGGTTTAGGCGAAAGTACTTTCTATCGATAGAGCATGTGAGCATGCCCTATGACCCGCGAGCAAGCCGAGCCCTCGGTGGGACTTTTGGTGCGCCCGCGGGGCCGGGCCCGATCTCCTGGGCAGGGTCAATCTGGGGGCTCACACAGTTCAAGGGGGGGGGGGGGAGGTCGACACAGAAGAAGGGCACCGGAGGAGACGGGGTCGCAACAGCAACCGCGTCAACAAGGGAACATACGCACGGCACACCAACATGGGCACGCGGGGGAGGATGGGGACATCTATATTTCTCCCTCCCAGTCACAAGGAGGGAAGTCAGGGGGGGGGGGGGGGGGGGGGGCCCCCAGAGAGAGAGAGAAAGAGAATCCAGGAGCAGGGTACTTTCCTTGCTACGGAGCCCATGAGGCACTTTAGGACCAGATAGATCTTCGAGGGAACATATGTGGGGAACGGCCCAAGGCGGGCGACTGGGGACCGGGGGGGGGGGGGGGGGGGGGGGGGGAGGCGCACGCCAAGCAAGCTCGCGAGGGAGGTAGCCACTGCGGCAGCCAGGCCTCAAAGTGGCCGTGGCTCCCCCGCCCCCACCCCTGCGGCTTGCTTGAGGACTTGCACGCACGACACACATAGACACACCAGCGACGGGGATGTATTGTATGCACATGCGGCGGCGCCCACATTTACTCAGACCCACCCCCTTGCCTGCCCGCCCCCCTCACTGCATGGCCACTCGGATGAGCTGCTCCACATAGGCCAGCGAGTCCGACAGGGCGCTGTCTGCCGCGATCAATGGCAGAATACTGGCCCAGAAGGCGTGCAGGGCGTGCGGCCGCGGGTCCCCCCGGCGGGCAATGATGGCGACCATCGGCGCCAACCAGGCGGCCTGGAGATCATGACAAGGGAGTGCGTGCGGACACATGGCGTCACGCGGAGTGGCCAGGTTAGCATCTTTGTCGGCTGTGTGAAGGGCAAGGGAGGGAAAAGAAGGCGAAGGACAGGGCGAGAGAGAGAGAGGAGGGGGGCGAGAAAATACACGCGGCGCGCATGCAGGTTGTTGGGGAAGGCCGCCAGGCGGCAAGTGGCGGTGTGTACGCACCGCGCGATCCGGGCCAAGGCTCGGCAAGCCGCCACACAGGATGGCCACCACCGGACGCAGGGAGCGCGAGGGGGGAGCCTGCTTGGGCACCTCCTCGAGCGAGGCCCAGTCAGCCGGCAAACCGAGCAGCTGCCCAGGGGACAGGTGAAGCTGCATCGGCTCGTCCCCGACCGCGATGGATCCATCATCCTCGGCATCCTCCTCGCCAAAGTACCGGAACAGCAGCGCCGGCCGCATGTGGCCATTCTGGGGGTCATTAAAGACCTGGACAAAGGTGTCCAGGAAGAGAGCGGCCGGCCGACGCCGGGCCAGCTCATCGAGCAACCGGATGGCCGGGCTCGAGAAGAAAGAATGCCCGCCGACGCCAGCATCAGCGGTTGGGGTAGTCGGAGCGGCGGCACGCATTGTCGAGGGGGGCTGCTGCGTCTGAGCCAGGGACTCCCTCAGCGGGGCAGGCACCACCGCAGGGCCGCCCTGCCGCGGAAGGGACGCCCCGGTCCACGGATCGAGCGGAGCATCAGCCGGTACGGCGTCGGTCGCCGCGCGACGGAACAGGTCCCCCAGTGGCGACTGGCTGCCCGGGGAAATGATGGGCGACAGCTTGGACGTGACGAAGTCAATCCGCCGGCTATGGTCGGCCATCGAATTGCGCAGGTCGGTCACATGCGTGCTTAGGGCCTCCAACTTGCCCATGATGTCGGCCATGGTCGAGCCCGTGGCCGCTTCGGTCATGTCGAACTGCTGGTCGCTGCCGGCCGTGACACTGCCGGCCTGCAAAGCCTGTTGAATGGCCGACAGCGAGGTCGCCAGGCGAACATTGTCCTCCTGCAGGCGCTTGGTGGACCGCTGGATGTCTGCCAGCGGGATGCTGGTATCCAGGGTGGTTTGGTTGGCCATGGCAAAGCGCTTGTCGATGGCATCCTCCATGATGGTCAGCAGCCGGCTAAAGAGGTCCCGAAGGCCGGTGGATGCGTGATCCGACAGCTGGAAGCAGATGGGCAACAGGGCGTCCCGGGTGTAGGCCGTCTGTCCCTGCTGGATCTCCCGCAGCAGGAAGGCCGCCAGCTGGTTCAGGTCGCCAACAGGCTCGGTGATGGTGGTGGTGGTGATGATCGGCGAAGTGGCCGACATAGTGGACAGATCGATGCTGGCAAGGCCCGACGGGCCGGTCAAGGCCGCAGCCAGGCTCGTCTGTGAGGGGGACGCCAGACCGCTGGCGTCATCGGGCTGGGGGCTCGGCGGCTGCGCGTCCAGGCCGGACATCGGCTGCTGCTGGTGGTGCTGCTGCTGCTGCTGCTGCTCAATTGAGGCATCCGGGCGAGGGGCATTGTCATCGCCGGCCAGCGAGCGGCCTTCCCCGGAGGAGGGCTCCGAGAGGAGAGAAGCAGACGCCGGACCGGGGGAACCAGACCGCGAGTTGCCCGTGGAGGTGGGCTGCGCCGCGAACAGGCGCGACACGCGGTTCGAGGAGGAAGACAGGGCACTTTGGTCGAGGGCGCTGTTACTGCCGGAGGAAGAGCCAGGCGGGGTCGGAGTCGCCAGCAGGGGGGCCGGCTCGGCCGGGGCATTGGCAGCACTGGGAGTCGTCAGGGCCACAGGGGCGGCAGTGTCCCCGGCCAGCAGGTCGAAAGGGCCCAGCGAGGGGGTCACAGTGCTGGAACCGGTGACAATGCGGTCGCCCTCGACATCGGCAGCCTCGGGAGGGGGCTTCTGGGTCTCCGAGGTGGCCAGGGACGCGGTATCTGTCGGGGCAGGCATGTGGGCGCTGAACAGGCTGTCCAGGGGCCGAAGGGGAGCGGCGGAGGCCGGGGCAGTCGGGGCCTCGGTCGAGCCGGCTCCAGGGGACATGGCCGGCGACGCGGACACCGGAGCCGACTCGGAGCGTTGCAAGGGCGAGGGAACCGTGCTGAGCATGCGGCTGGCAAAGGGACTGTTGCTCATCAGCGAGTGAGAGAGGGCTGGGAGGGGGGGTAGGGAGCCCATGTTCGATGAGACATTCACCTGACTGCGGAAGGGCACAGGGCGTGTCAGTTCCGAGAGTGAGCAGGGACAGAGAGGCGAGAAGGTGTATGCGGGGAAGGAGGAGAGGGAGAGAGGAGGTACATGGGCAGGGGGGGGGGAGACGGGGCGGGGGCCGAAGATCGAGTGTAGGGAGATCCCTGGGCCGGGGGTGAGGAAGGGAGGGAGGGGGGGAGAGAGGGAGAGAGAGAGAGGAAGGGAAGGAGGGGGGAGAGGAGGGATGATGCTGGAGGTGGTACCCTGGGCCGCCAGCGCACTGGCATCTAGGTCCCCCCCTGAGGTGCGCAGACAGGCCGCTCTCTTCGCCAGCGCAACCCAAGACAATCGGCCAGCCAGCCGGGGAGAATGGCGGAGACACAAGCCCTCTGGAGGCACCAATTGTGATCGTC